GCAGGGTTGCCGCGGGCGAAGTTGGTGACGAAACTCCCTGTATGCTCGAGCCACAGCTTGACGCACCATGGCGTCAGACCCCGTGTTGATATCCATCGAAGACTATGTCCTGCGTTTTTGACGTTTAGGCCACACACCACTCCTTCGGTTGTACGGCCACGCTGCTTTTACCCATCTGTCTCTTGCTACTTGCACATCGACGCTGCCGGCGGCAGGGCAATCGGGAAGGGAGAACCTTGAAGAAACGAGAAAAAGAAGACTATGTCTATTGAGGCACGGAGAAGAAGCGCTGGGGAAAAAGCGAGCGTGAAATTAGGGACGGAGGAGGCCGCAGAAACAACGAGTTTCAGCAGTGAGAGCGAATATTTCAAGGCACAGAAGAGAAGAGCTGAGGAAAGAGCGAGGGGCAGGAGAGAGAATGCGTTTCAAAGGGACACGGACATTTACTTGAGGGGCGAGACGCATTTATCTCGAAACCTCTGCCAGACATGAAGAATGGCAATGGTCAGAGCTGACAAAACGTCTGTGTTTTGTCCAGTTCGCTCGGCCAGGCCCATTGAAAAATCGCGTTTTGTTTGGTACCCCCGATCGATGCGATTCCACGCTGGGCTGTTCATCTATGAACCAAACACGAACGGATTAGCAAAACGAAGGAGAGGGTTGTAACAGATTAACGCGCGTGGTGTTTCGGGTCAGGTATGCTAGGGACCGCAGTACTTTCATTGGGTGAACATGTGTGGACATCGTCACAGATTGTCGTCCGTTGATCTAATGCGCTTTTTGCGGATGTTTCACCAGGTCCCCATGTTGGGACGAGCTTGTGTTGTCGCGGTTTGTGTTCCTGTCGCATGAAGAATATGACCACATCTTTGTGGAGAGCGTGCTGGCACCTTGTGAAGCGCGGGGGGGGGGGCACGGGTGATGGGCTTGCACTTGAGCTTGAGCTATTTCGGACGAGATGTTTGCCGGACCCTTCGGGATAAACGTGGCCCAAACATAATTATTGAAGCATCGCCTAGCGAGACGGGAAGTTGCATTGGTTTTCGGGGCACAATATGTGCACGGTGACGAAGGCCGAGAGGATGATGACATTTGTAAGAGGCATGCGGGAGACCAAGATCGGATTGGAAGCGATGTGCTCTATGAGCTCGTTCACCGGATAATAGAAAGGTCTACGGATCAACCATCTAGTAAGCTTCCACCGAACAGACTGGGGAATGGTTTCTCTGTTGGTGGAGTCACTGCTGTAGTGTGCAACCGATGTTACCTGATGATGCTCCGTTGTTGTCGTACCACAGGGGCCGTGACATTAAGGGCTAGGCTCTTCGAGTATGGGGGGACAGAAGTTGGTGTAGCATCAAAAGGACGTTGGACTTCACTCGCTACGGATTGGTATGGATTCAAGTGGTGTCGCCGGGAAGTACGTTTGGGGGTGACGTAAAAAGTACTTGAGACGCGTGTATACTGGTAGGAGATAATGTCAAGGGAGTTATTATGAGGCAGCCGGAGTAGGGCACGGTGTTGGGGGTTGTTGTTGTTGTTGTTGTTGTTTTCTCCACATAAAACTCGTGTCAGTTGCTAATCCCAAAATCTAGGAAAGACTCGGTCCGTGGTCACAAAAATGCTAGAGCCATCAGAAGATCTAAAGAACACACACTATTAGCAAGAAAAGGGTACACAAGCCCGAGGAGGTACACCTACAGTCCCTGCAGCACGTTTGCGTGCTCACAACTGATGAACTACGGGCAAGGGCAAAGGTGAAGGGGGCATGTGTTGAGTGCCAGTTCGACTGCAGAGATCTAGACAGAGGTTGAGTTCAGCATGTGTGTGCATGGATAGGTTGAACAGCAACAGCAGTGTTGGTATGCAGCTGTGTCGAGTGCAGCAGCCGCCGAGAGACGAATCAACAACAAGTTTCCAGCTATCTGTCCATTCCCTTCCTCGACGACGCCCGCAAAGACAATCAAGCATCCATAAGAGGCAAGAACCTCGAACCTAGCGCAGAACCTTGGTAATGCAGAGCCGCACTGCTCTGCATTTGATTGGGTAATTGGGTCATCAACAGAACCCGAATACCAAGTGTAGCATTGGCGTCCTCGGCGCTTCTTTCTTCCCCGGGTGCGAGACTCGTTGCGTTGTTGGTTGTTGTTGGCTTTTGGTTTGAAGTATCACTTTAGTCTTTCGCGTCTGCGTCAATGCAATGTGTACTCGCACTTCGGTTGTTTCCGGCTGCGCGACTTGTCGCGTGTGAGCCTCTCGTTCTAGTAGGCCCTTTTCCTTGGGCACGCCCATTGCCCGTCTCTCTTCTTCCTCGCCTACCAAATCTCCTGGAATTGGCCCGTCCGGGTCGTCACGGGGGATTTACCCATCTTGCCGGTCGCAATACGACTCTTCGCCACGTGCGTCGTCTCCACGTGGTCACCCTGCTGGTGCACAGCTCGGCGCTGTTGCCGCAGCCCGTCCTGCTGCCGTGCGCCGTGCCCGCGAGGAGATTGATACCGCCCTCTCCATACGAGGACGTGTATCCGCCGGCATTCGGGCCGTTCCGCGATCCGATACCAAGATGGTATATGTGAGACACCCTTCTTACTCTGGAAAATAGGAATCGACACTGAGAGTTTCCGCCTCTTGGTGACGGAACCGTCGGAACCTTACGGTGGGGGGGACGGGCGGAAACCGTCGCTACCGCCGTCTGACACGTCTGGTGATTTCCGACCTTTTTAGTGCTGACAGGGGCGGGGAGCCGTCCACTGTAGTTCCCCACCTACTTTGTCGGACAGTAGTAAAACACCGGCGAAGCTACCAGGTTGTGTAGCTCCGAAACCCAAGCCGACTCCGAAACCCGAACCGACTCCGAAACCCGAGCCGACTCCGAGTCCGACAGACCGAGTGTACAGTACGAGGTTGAGTGNCTCGGACAGACCGAGTGCACAGTACGAGGTTGAGTGTAATTAGCTTAGCCGACCAGGTCTTGTGTCCTGGAGTCGTAGGCGATAGAGAAGAAGGTGCTGTCCGCTTGATCCGTGGAATCCGAGCTTGCCCTTTTTCGAAGACTTCTGCGGCTCAAAACCGGCCCGAAGACCGATCTGAAACCGAAACCCGAACCGAAAGTAGTAAAGACAATCACGGGAATTTGGCTGCCGTGAGAAAACCGGCGCTCAAGACGACGCCCGCGGTTGTAAGGCCATCTCCCCGGGGTAGTTACGTAGCGAGCATCGGGCGCGTTGCTAGTGCTTCCAGTGACTACCGAAAATCCAAATCCACCCGCCGTAGGTTAAACCTAGTCGCGCGATGGTGGTACCATCCCACCAAATCGGTTGGGTGACAACGCAGTGGAAGTAGAGGAGAGTTGTTCCCCGCCGTCGGCTTCCCCGTTGGCCGATCTTTAAGATAGTGACGCAAACGGCGCCGCGCCTGCGATAGCTTTTAACGCTAGCCGCTTGCATCTCTATCGGCTGTCCCCGTTCTCACCGGTCGGACGCGNGGTGAAACCTAGCCGCGCGATGGTGGTACCATCCCACCAAATCGGTTGGGTGACAACGGAGTGGAGGAAGAGGAGAGTTGTTCCCCGCTGTCGGCTTCCCCGTTGGCCGATCTTTAAGATAGTGACGCAAACGGCGCCGCGCCTGCGATGATAGCTTTTAACGCTAGCCGCTTGCATCTCTATCGGCTGTCTCCGTTCTCACCGGTCGGACGCGTATATGCCTACTCTCGCCGACGGGGGCGGCGAAAGATAAAAACGATGACTGATAAACACAAATGAAAAAAAAACGTCGTAGCGCGAGTTCTGCGGTGTGTATTGAGGGTTCGCTCCTTTGCCTGGATGGAAAAAAGATCCTCCAAGCTCTAGTTGAGCAGTAGCAGGAGGCGATCTGTCTGAATTTCTCGCCGAGTGTCAGGCGNGATAAAAACGATGACTGATAAACACAAATGAAAAAAAAACGTCGTAGCGCGAGTTCTGCGGTGTGTATTGAGGGTTCGCTCCTTTGCCTGGATGGAAAAAAGATCCTCCAAGCTCTAGTTGAGCAGTAGCAGGAGGCGATCTGTCTGAATTTCTCGCCGAGTGTCAGGCGTTTGTTTGTTTTTTTGGCAGATTGGTTCTTACGTGCTGCATGCATTCACAGACCTAGCCCCATTTTTCTGTCTCCGCGGACGAAGTGGAAATAGAGCTTGAAGTGCAGCGGGCACCGCCGGTTGCCATCACCGGTCACCGTATCAGCAGAGGTCCAGGGGGTTCCATAGCGTTACAATACGACCCGCGTTGGCGCGGACACCGCCAGCCCGCTTGAGAATCTAAAGCAAACATCCAGCAGTATGGTAATTTTGTGCACAGGTATTGGGTGGGCAGTACAGTACGTCAAGTAGGTGCCGACAATGAGTGCACTGTGACTATACTAAGCTTGCCGCGCTCCGCGAGCAAGCTCGCTCCCGTAACTCCCTTGATGTGCCACCAGGTTACGCGTTACTGGCTACATGGGAGCGTGNCAGAGGTCCAGGGGGTTCCATAGCGTTACAATACGACCCGCGTTGGCGCGGACACCGCCAGCCCGCTTGAGAATCTAAAGCAAACATCCAGCAGTATGGTAATTTTGTGCACAGGTATTGGGTGGGCAGTACAGTACGTCAAGTAGGTGCCGACAATGAGTGCACTGTGACTATACTAAGCTTGCCGCGCTCCGCGAGCAAGCTCGCTCCCGTAACTCCCTTGATGTGCCACCAGGTTACGCGTTACTGGCTACATGGGAGCGTGGGCCGACCTTCCTGTCGGCGGAGATGAAAGGGGCGCATGTTTACGAGTGGTCGAAGGAGGAGGGCTGGCAACTTGGGGTGGTGCATCAGGTTTCGAGGGCGCGGGCGGAGGACCTCCCGTGCAACGTCCATTTCGTCGACCTCGAGCGGCGTTTCAACGTGTCGCCGTCGCCGGCGAAATAATGTACGGCGTTGGATGGTCCGCCTGGCCCATGGTGCTTTCTGGTGCACATGCGGTCCGGGAGCGTCCGACGGAACGGGACCTAAGGGGTGCGCTGTGGTGGTGGTTTTATCATGGTGGTAGGGGTGCGCTGTGGCGGAGATTTCGTCGTGGTGGGCGAGGAGCGCTGTGAAGGAGGTGTTGCCGTGGTGGATGGGGAGCGCTGTGAAGGAAGTTTTGTCGTGGTGGACGGGGAGCGCTGCGGCGAAGAATTTTCGTGGCGGNAAGGGGTGCGCTGTGGTGGTGGTTTTATCATGGTGGTAGGGGTGCGCTGTGGCGGAGATTTCGTCGTGGTGGGCGAGGAGCGCTGTGAAGGAGGTGTTGCCGTGGTGGATGGGGAGCGCTGTGAAGGAAGTTTTGTCGTGGTGGACGGGGAGCGCTGCGGCGAAGAATTTTCGTGGCGGAAGAGGCGAGCACGTCGGCGCCTTGCGGGATATCCGCGGTGGGGGGGGGAGCGAGACGGCACCTCGAGGATTGTTCAAGGTGGAAGGGGAGAGCGAGACGGCGCTTCGTACGACTGTCTACGACCTCGTCGGCGCTTCGAGCACCTTCAAACGACTCCGTCGGCGCTTTCCGTAACTTCACTCGCCGGCGCCCTTCGATATCTTTTTGTTTGTGGATGTGTGTGTGTTCCGGATTTTTTGTCTTTGGTATTGCCTTCTGATGCCGATGATGTTTTTTTTTTTCCAGTGTGGTGTGTCGGTTGTTGCTGTTTGGCTCTGGGGTCTTGGTAGCGACGTGCCGTCCTTTTTCGGGAGGATGGGGGGGAGAGGCACAGGCCATTCAAAAATAGCCGGTGTTTGGTAGAAACTTGAGAGTTTTTGCTGAAAAGTTTGTGGGCTGCCCCGCCTCAAGGAATTTCGATTCAAATTTTCGGTTGGTTTATTGGTGCCTTGGTCATTGCGGGTGCGAAGTCCGGGAGTGTTTGAGTCCTCGAAGGGAATGTCGTCGTGCTTTACTTCTAGGATAGGGGGTCAATGATTCGTTGTGGTTCCACCGATTCCGGGCAGGAAGCTTTCGAAGCTCTTTTTCAAAGCGATGATATCGTTCTCATGGTGGTCATTCTTTGGTGAACTTTGGAGTTCCAGGGTAGGCAATACAGCAAGGTTCGTTGGCTTTTCTTTTTCCCCTGAGACCGTCACAGGTCTGCTCTCCCGCAATAAGTATTCCGCAAGGAAGCTCCCGAATACCAAGTATAAAACCCGGAATATCCGCGCCATCTCTGCCACGTCTCTCTACAATACCAGTGACGTCATCACACACACCCAACACCTGTATTCAAGAAAAAAACGAAAAATAATTGACAACACAAGAATGTTTGTCTGTATGCCACGGTTCGATGCCGTCCGCATGCTCCGGTTCAGCTGCTCCGGTGCTGCTGCTCCGGTGCCACTGCTCCGGTGCCGCTGCTCCGGTGCCGTTGTTCCGGTGCCGCTGTGGCCAGTCCTAGCACGACCAAACTCGACCCGCTCCGCTTGGTACATGTTCTCGTTGCTGTCCTTCCCAGTCGGTTCCTCGCTTTCTCCCGCGTTGCACATGGGGTTCTTGGTCTGAAAACTCTCGCGCCGAAGGGTCAACCAGCCTAATCAGCTCGTCACCACCTGTCCCCTCCTCCTTTGATGGCAAAACCAGGCTACTGAGACAGTACAGCTCTCTCTAGCAAATCTAGGGCCGTGTACATAGTGCCCGTCCACCTTTCTGATGACATCTGCCTCCGCGCACAAAGATGAGATGGGCATTGCTGCCTACCCCGACGGCCTGGAGGCCCGCGCATCTGCACCTTTGTACCTGACGCACCAGTGCCGACCCAACTCCACCACAACGCACGCCTCGCGGCGGGTGCGCCGCAGCAAGAAGGTATCGGTCCCTTGAGGGTGAGTCTACCCCTGCTCGCTAGAAAGAACCCCCCCCTCACTATGAGCCATGCCTGCGCAAAACCTTCCCGAGGGGGGAAGTAGGCAGTAGCAGTCAACAAACGGAAACGCGTTGTACGAAGAGTTGTGTCATGGTGAAAAAATTGTCTGCAAGTCCTATTTACACTCCGGAATGTTACCAAGACACACCGACTGGATTTATCCGCAGTGCGACCGTGTCGCCGAACGGTGCGCTTGTAACCTACCAACCTGTCATCAGCGATTCATCCGATCCAGCAACAACGTTGGACGTGTCCTTGTCTCCCATCGCTGCGGCAAAGGTGGTGGTTTGCGTAAGGCAACGTCTCTCAGCACGAACGATCGCTGCGAATACCGCCACGCCGCCACAGAGCACGGAGAACCGACGAGAAACTGTACATCCTTCGGTGTGGGGCTTGTACACTTGTCTATTCCGGCAATTAACGATCGTGTTTGCGCTTGCACCTGTCGCACGAGATGTTTCTTTGGCGGCGTTTGGATCGCTCCTCGAATACGAGTCCAAGAACGCTTTGACGGTAGCCTCGGAGCAGACACTGCAAAGACTCCAGCACATCCCCTTCGACTGTGGCAATACCTTGAGATAGGGTGGTCTTGCGTTAGACTAATTGTGTGTACCTTTTCGAAGACAT